TGGGCGGGGCTTGGAATTTTCCTATATTTTGTCTGTCTTGTTTGTGGTTGGTGGTGCTTCTGTAGCAAGGAAGATTCAACTCTGGGATTTCAGGGCTTGTTTGTTAGTTTTCCACCTTTTTTCCCCTCATCCTGACTGCACCCTCGGTGGCCAGGCTAGCACGAAAGAGCTATTTCGCCAAAGAAAATCTATTAAGAAAGGAAACATATTGTCACCCCCATCCCCTCTCTAGATTGGCGTATGGCACCCCACAGGCAGGGGAGTTAAAGAGGCAGCAAAGTACTGTTTATTCCCCCCCTCTCTTCTTTGTTTGTTATGTTACTCTCTAGTAACACTTCTAATTGTCATTCTTGTTGTGAGTGGGTGGTTGGCGGGTGCTCTGGTGTGGTTTGCTTCTTCTTTCCTATCAAAGATCTATCGTCCTTATCTCCCCTTCTTCTTTTTTATGTTTGTTGCTCTCTTGTCACACCTCTAATGTTCTGGCACTCATATGACCTTATGCAGTTGCGAGTGCCGTAAAACCTCTACTAAAAGTAAAATTTCTGGTTGTCTTAGACAAGTGGACGTCTTAGTCAGTGTCATTATGATATAGAAAAAGATGCAAGGGGGGTGGGGTGGGGGGGAGATGGTTTTTTTGTGCAGGTGCTTGTCTTGGACAGGTGGCCGTTAGAGTTAGAGTAAGTTCGACGATATTTTTCTCCTTTTTATGGGACGATTCCTCTGGCGCTGACCAGATGACAAAGACATGTGGTTACTTGAGGGAGGCATTGCACTGCCAAGAGCGAAATGCTCGCAGCTAAAGAGATTTGAAAACAACAACAACAACATGGGACGCTCAGTTTGTAAGCCTATTGTGACTATCTTTTGCTTTTATATGAACTTATTGTGTTGCATGTGCTGTAAAACTCTTACTAAAACAAACAAAATCATAAGTAAAATATAAATTATACAGAGATATCTAAGCCTTTCCCTATTTCTCTCTGTCCCCAGGCTGCTTGTGTCGGGCGAGCTGCAGGGCAACGAGGGAGAGTACTTACATTTCATTGACGGAGAGCGCACCGTGAAGGAGTTTTGTGGCCAGGTAAGTCAGTGTGCCAGGAGACTGCCGCAGGGTGATGCTGTCTAGATGCCTGCTCTTTGAACACGCCGGTACAAATGAATGAACAAAGTTTGTTTGGTTAACCGTATCGGTGACCTGGGGTCATTTTGTACCCCCAGGCTTGTATTCTTCACATTTTAGAATACTTCTAGTGCGAAGATCTCTTTGAAACTTTCAGTATTTTTCAAAAAATCATTTTGACAGACTGCTACGCAAAGCGGTCAGATCGGATTAATGAGTAAATTACCTCTTTGGAAAGTGGTGGCACAGAGTTCCCCACGTCGTATGGATACAATAGCAAAACACGACGTACGGATAGGGCTAATATTGTATTGATATTTTTCAGGTTAAGACTGATGTTGAGAAGCTGTTTCACTTTATATTTTTAAAATTCATATTATAATAGGTTCATGTGAGTCTAAGAGGAATATATTCATACCCTGTGTAAATATAAGTTTGTCTATGAAGACCGTATCAGGATGCTTCAGCTTATTTCATGTTGGTCACTAGGCACTGGAATTGAAGATATCGGCTGAAAGTCAACACACTCTTACTAAAACTAAAGTGTTATTATTATTATTATTATAGATTTTATTATTATTATAGTTTTTATTATTATTATTGTTTTTATTATTATTATTATTATTATTATTATTATTATTATTATTATCTTTATTTTTTTATCATTGTCATTATTATTATTACTATTATTATTATCATTTTAATTATTATTTTTATTAATATTATCGTCATCATTATTATTATTATTATAATCATTATTATTATTATTATCATCATCATCATCCCTTGCAGGAGGTGGAGCCAATGGGCAAGGAGAGCGACCACATCCACATCGTGGCGCTGGCCCGGTCGGTGGGCGTGCCGGTGGCCGTGGAGTACATGGACCGCGAGGGCAACAAGTGCAACCTGCTCAGCTTCAGCCCGGGGGAGGGCGGGGAGGGGGGGCAGGAGGCCCAGCCGTCGCTCTTCCTGTTGTACCGGCCGGGGCACTACGACATTCTGTACCCCTTGTGAGGTTGTCTCCTTCTCTTCGTCCTCGTTGTTGTTGTCGTTGTTTGTTGTTGTTGTTGTTTGTCCCCTGTGGATAGTTTAAAAATTGAGAGAGATATGATGATGATGTTGTTGTTGTTGTTGTTTGTCTCCTGTGGGTAGTTTGGAAATTGAGAGAGATATGATGATGATGTTGTTGTTGTTGTTGTTTGTCTCCTGTGGGTAGTTTGGAAATTGCGAGAAGTATGATGATGATGAAGATGATGTTGTTGTTGTTGTTTGTCTCCTGTGGGCAGGTTTGGAAATTGCGAGAAGTATGATGATAATGATGTTGTTGTTGTTGTTTGTCTCCTGTGGGCAGGTTTGGAAATTGCGAGAAGTATGATGATGATTATGCAGATGATATTGTTGTTGTTGTTGTTGTTGTGAGAAGTATGGTGAGTTTCTGGTTTTTTGATTTACTTAACTCATGTAGGACGTAATTTTTTTGGGCAGTTGAAACCATTCGGGTGTAAGCGTAATTGACTTGTAACCCCGTGGGTCATTTTGAGGGTATGAAGATTATATGTTCGGTTTTTTTACAGACCTTGTAGTAAACATTGTAGCAGCATGTTATATATATCATTGGAAAGATAATTGAATGTCGATGTACACTGATGTGCAATTGAAAGGAAGCAATAGAATGGAATAAATGAAACAAACTTTAGACCCTGATCAAATTACCAATAAATGGGTGATATGTCAAAATGTGTTCTTTGTAAGTTACTGATATAATTGTCATATATATATATACGTCTGAGATGAGTTAATGTGCTGACTGTTGATATAGGTCTCCATTTTGTTGATATATGTTGAGCGTTTTGTTGACGGAGGGCTGGAGTGGTAGCCCCCCCCTACTTATTCCCTGTCTCCTGTTCCAATCTCTTATGTGGGTTGTTGTTTTTTTTCTTGGAACAGTGTTGTGTTGTGAGCCAGGTTTTGTTGAAGAATGTTTTTTGTTAAAAACTGAATGATGTCTGATATGTTAAAGCCCTTCTGTCTAGCCCAGACGGATAAGCCAAAAGAACATTCACACATATTTTCTGATTTTGTGAAATAACTTAATAAGGCATTGTATTTGTTTTCGTCTATTTTTGTAATGATATTTTTTGGGGTTGATTATTAATTGGTCTATAAGAATGTGTTTTGGATCACAACTGAATGTGAATGTAGAAGAAAAAGAAACAGCCAGTTTTTGAATATGTTTGTGTGTGTGAGTGTTTGTGTATATGTATTTGTGGTGTGTTTATATATAATGGGTACAGGCATTTGTGTGTGTGTGTGTGTGGGTTTGGGTGGATGTGTGGGTGGTTTGGGGTGGGGGGAGGCGGGGAGAGAATGAAGAGGATATGGAGAAGATGAATTCTACTCTTTGGTGTGCTTTCTTTTACGTATGTATGTACCTTCAGTTGTTTTTGTTACGCATCATTTATGTTGTTGGTTTATTGACCATTCAAGTGCTTGTTAAGTGTGTTGTTTCGGTGAAATGTGATGCCTAGTCGTGATAGGTGACTGTGTCTCTCATTGTTCTGAAGTCGCACGTGATGATGCTTTTTGTAGTTGCAGAAAGTTCAAATATTGAGTGGCTACCTCCCCGGAACGGTGCCACTGACTGTAGTGTCTTTAGGCCATTCCCAAAGGGGGGACATTTTTCGTTCAAGCACAGTAGAATTGTAAATGGGCTGATTCATCAATGTCACGCTCATAACTGTGTCTGATCTCCAACAGGGAACTGCTGCTTTTTCTTTCCTAATCCTTACTATTGTCATTTTTCCTCTACTTCTTTTGTATGTTTGTCACACTCTTGTGACCTGCTATTTACGGGGTGCCTTGAAAGTCGAAACAGACTTTGTGCTGTTGAAGCTAGAAAGGTGAGCAGAATTGGCCTGATTCCCTGTAACTGTAAAGAATTCTACTCTCTGTTGACATCCACCCTTTGGCGCTCATATGACCATATGCAGTTGCAAGTGCCGTAAAATCTCTTCTACTTCTAAATAAATATTTAAAAAAACATTGAGTGGATGATTGGAGGGTGCTACTGGTAGGCTCTGCTTTCTTTTCTTCCCATCTTTTGTTTCTGTCTGTTTGTCTTACTTTCCCCCGTACTAAACTTGTTTTTTGTGTTGATGAGCTTCTCTTTACTCACGTGGGTGGTTGGAGGGCGCTGCTTGTACGTCCTACTTCTTTACTTTCCCTCGGTTGTTTCTGTCTGTCTGTCTTACTTTCCCCCAGCACTAAATGACCATAATTGTGTGGATGTGCTTCTCTTTACTCAAACAGACAAACAAAACATTGAATGAATGCTCATACAGTGTGGAGTGGCTATACAAATGAATTACCGTAATAAGCTTCAGTTTGGAAATAACAATTTAATATGGTCTTGTGCTTTCAGCTTTGCATTCTTAATGTTATGGAAACATGTTCTATTCATCTTTGCTGTTTAAAAAAAAAAAGCCGATCTGGCTTATAATTCAAATGTGGAATAGCGTGATTGATACAGCCTACTTACTTGCCTAAATGGACATGCTGGTATCTGGTGTAATGGTTAGGAGCTTCACCGTCATGTGTAGAACATGCGAGTTCCATTCCTGAGTGGGGAGACTGTTTATTGGATATCTTTGTCTTTCTGAGGGGACCTTGTAGCCCTCTCTGAGCCTCTCAGCTGGGGATGGCTCTCCTCACGTCCAGGGTGGAAGTGTCCCGCCAGCCAAATGAACTAAATGGTGTTGATAGGGGTGTAAAACATTTACAACTAACTAGATCTTTTTTTTCTTTCTTTTGGAGACAGAACTTTGTATGTGTATGTATTCATTTACTAGTAGTTTACTTTGGTTAACATTAACACACCAAGTTGCGTTTTCCTTAGAGTTTGGCTGAGTGGTCTATATTGTTGTGTTATGAGCTGAGTTGTCAACATGATAATACATGTATTGGCGGGACTGATTGATCATATTTTATACTTTGTTCTTTTGCGCTAGCCATTTTGTTGTTCAGCTCTGCTGTTAGTGTTCGTCGGTGACAGAGAAATTTCATCTGGAGATTATATCCTGTACCTGTATCATTTTGGTTGGTGAAAAAACAATACATGATGTACGTTGAGAACTTTCCATTTTTGAGTTTTCTGTTTTGTGTTCGATGACTTTGACTGGATGACTTCTGTTCTTGTGATGTCCTTTTCAATTAAACGACGAATGTGTCAGTGTCTTCAGATTCCATGCTGTGTTGTTTCATCTTTCGCCTCAGTAGCTTAGGTCATACATAATTGTACATTGGAGTCTGCTTTATTAATCAGTTGGCGGGTGCTCTGGTGTGGTTTGCTTCTTCTTTCCTAAAAAATCTATCGTCTCTATCTCCCCTCCTTCTTTTTTTGTGTTTGTTACTCTCTTATAACACCTCTAATATTCGGCACTTATAATCTTATTGTGTTGCAAGTGCCATAAAACTCTTACTAAAGCTAAACGAAAGCATGGCTGAACTGAAGAAAATCCAGCAGTCCCTCAGGTTTCCGTCTGACTTGAAGAGGACTCCCCCCAGGGCAGTGCTTCTGACTACTGACTGAAGTGTCTGTAGGCCATTCCCAAAGGGAGGGGGGTATTAACACATGTTCTTAAGCACAGTAGAATTGTAAATGGGCTGATTTATCAATGTCAGTTGTCATGCTCATACTGTTCTGGAACAACATAGGGGGGAACTGCTGCTTTTTCTTTCCTCATCGTTACTATCGTCATTTTTCCTCTACCTCTTTGGATGTTTGTCCTTCTCTTGTGAAATATTTTCTGGGGTGTCTTGATAGTCGAAGCAGACTTTGTGCTGTTGAGACTTGAGACAGAGAGGTGAGCCGAGTAAGCCTGATTCCGTGTTTGGAATTCCCTGTTGACATCCACCCCTTGGCGCTCATATGACCTTATGGAGTTGCGAGCACCGTGAAACCTTACTAAAAAACAACAAAAAACCAGCTGTGAACCATAAGTAAATAGAATCCCCACTTTTTTCCTTCACTATTTGAGCAATTTCTCTAATTGAAAGCACGGCTGAACTGAAGAAAATCCAACAGTCCCTCAGGGTTCGGCGTAACTTGATTGAAGAGCACTCCACTGTGTTATATATTGTGGTTGCATGAAGCGTATTGATACTTTGTCAAGATACTCAGTATGATGAAGTGGGCACTCCGTTAGCTCAGTTGGTAGTATGCTGGACTATAGGGCAGATGGCTCTGGTTCGAATCCCAGACTCGGCTTTCTTGAGCTCGGTTTGTTTGTGGAGTTTTCAAGTGGATGGTTGGCGGGTGCTCTGGTGTGATTTGCTCCTTCTTTCCTATCAAACTACTATCGTCTTTATCTCTCCACCTTTTTTATGTTTGTTACTCTCTTGTAACACCTCTAATCTTCGGCTCTCATACGACCTTATTAGTTATTGTGTTGCAAGTGCCACAAAACTAACGAAAACTAAAAACTAAAGAGTTTTCGAAGCTCTCAACCTACTGTCAGACACAGATAGAACAAACACAGAAAACCCGAAATACCGGGAACGGATAGCTCGTACAATTTACCATTCCCCGACTGATATCTCTTTAATTTTTCATTATCTGTTAACTTGAATTTATGCATGTGTCAAACACATTTGTCAATCCCTGATATAATATATTCTATGTTTGAGTTGTCCAGGGAACTTGCTCAGAACTTGCTCAGGGAAAGAGACCAAGAGGAAGACCAAAATTGAGGTACAAAGACACCTGAACCCAGCTTTTATCTAAGTTTGGAATAGATGTTAGCATCTGGGAAAATATAGCTGAGGACAGGAAAACCATTGAGGAAAACGATAAAGGAAAGAACTATAGATCTAATGCTAAAGAGAAGCCTTAGAAAATAAATTAAATGTACCAGGCTGAGAAGCGCCAACAACGAAAGGAAAACAGCGGAAAAACAGAGCTTCCATCCACGTCACTGACATGCAAGCACTGCGACACAATCTGTATTTCAAACGTAGGAAGAGTTAGCCATGAAAAAAGCTGCACGAAGGCAACCTTGAGACCATCTTAAGATAAATTGACCGTCTGTATAGAGGAAAAGAGCCATACATGTTTGAGTTCTCCATGCCTGACTGTATTTGGCTCAGTGGAGTCCTATTGGAGATGGATGTTAAGTTCAGAGGCCCCACCTTAAATAACCTAATAGTTCTAATACAAATATGTAGTGTTGGGAGGGGCATTAAACCAATACACTTACTTTTTGCTCAATCCTTATGAAGTACCCACCTTGTACAGAAAAACGACCTTTTGACACACCAAAAGATGTTTTAAACAGCAACCATGTCATCGTCATCAACAACAACAATAGGCCCGGCGGTGGCATCTCTTCGGGGAGGATTCAGGGAGGTTGGACTGCCTCACCCGCTACCCAAGGGAGGCGGTGGCCCTGGCGAAGAGCACACTCTTCGGGGCTCCGAACATTTCGAACGGATAGGCTACCACACACACAACAACAACAATAACTCAATAAATAACGGGAACTAACTCAAAAGGTGGATGGCTCATAAACTTTCCCGCCGATAACAAAAAGGGGACTATCCCAAGACTAATGATGAAGAAAACACAAGATTCGGACAACACATCATCATCATCATCATTGCCTTTCTCACCCTGCACCAGGGTATAGGCCACGGACAAACACCTTCCACCTTTCTCTATCCAGGGCTAGCCTCTTGATGTTAATATTATTCCATGTCTTCCCACTTTTCTGTATGGTACATCGATTTCTGTGACTCTCCTCCAGGTTCCACGCGGTCTTCCACTTGATCTCTTACCCTGTGGGTTCCAATCCAAAACTTTCTTTGTTATGCAGCTGCCTGACTTCCTGAGAGTATTGTCTTCCTTCCCAGAATACAATACTTGTTCCCCCGAGCTGAGCTGCTTCTGTCCAGACTGTATGATACTGTATCCAGTGGGTTTCGCTAACTCCTAGTATGTGCAGCCTGTATCTCTTCATCTCTTGTACTATTTGAGAACTCTTTCCTGCTTTACTTTCCCCTCTGTTGTTTCCGCCTGTCTGTCTTACTTTTCCCTGCACTAAATGATCATAGTTGTGTCAATGTGCTTCTCTTTACTCATACAAACATAATACAATCTTTCCTGCTTCATACATGGTGCGAATATTCCACTACGCAATCCGGAGAGACTTGTTCGACAGAGAAGGTTTCGGGTCAGAAGAGTCCTTTCGGCTTTGTCCGCTGTCCTTCATTGTTCCTGCTAATGCAGAAGCTCCTCCTTCTCCCAAGATCGAACAATAAAAAGCCGCGTTTGTCCGTGTTTTTGTAACTTACTGGGTTTTTTTACTGGGTTGGGTAGTTGGCCCTCCCCAAACTGACAATTTTCGGGCGACCAGACCTTTGCACTTTTAGTCGCCTCTTACGATACGCCGTATCACGGCAGGTGTATTCTTTACAACACATGCACATATGTTTTTAAACTTGTACACAAAATGTCAGAGTGGAGAAGCGGACCAAACAGTGGAGTGTGGAGGGACACATCCTTCAGCAGTACAGGGCACACAGGCTCTTTAGAAATAGAAATGTGTAAAAGAGAGAGAGAGAGAGAGAGAGAGAGAGAGAGAGAGAGAGAGAGAGAGAGAGAGAGAGAGAGAGAGAGAGAGAGAGAGAGAGAGTGAGAGTGATGGGGCAAGCCCACACCACTGCAACTACAAGCACAGAATAAATACAACTGGATTACTCCACAAATGTTTACTTCCCTTGCATTTCTGATTTAACAGGGATCTGATATGACAGGACTTTTTCTCTGGTCCCATCTACTTACTTACTTTACTTTTACTTTTTCATCCCCTGTTGTCGTTAAGCGTCGAGGGAAGATGCAGTTTTCTATGGTAGGCCAGCTCCGCAGCTCTTTCAGTTGTTTGAGCTGGTCCCATCATCCCTGTTACTGTTACATCAGGTTTCCACCCTGTTACTGTTACATCAGGTTTCCACCCTGTTACTGTTACATCAGGTTTCCACCCTGTTACTGTTACATCAGGTTTCCACCCTGTTACTGTTACATCAGGTTTCCACCCTGTTACTGTTACATCAGGTTCCCACTGTAATCTAAGCCCCTCCCCCCCAGTAAACATATTGTACTGTAAGTAAGTTTCAGGCCTTCCGTTCTTTCTTTCTTTCTTTGTGGATTCATCCTTCAAGCTTGGTGGGTAATATCTTTGTTTTCGGTTTTCTCAAGGTGTGTCCAATCCACTTCCATTTTTTTCTTCTGATTTCTGTATCTATTTTCTGTTGAGCTGTGTTGGCACTGAAGTGAGCGCCTATAGAAACGATCTACATTATTTTGTTTGCTCTTTTTGTCACTAGTTACTAGTTAGCTTGCAGTAATACACATATATGTATGAGCTAGGTTTTTCGTTTGTTATTGATCTATTGGTAGTCATAATAAGTTAAAAGTCTAAACAACATCAACGAAAGCAGTTATAATTAATTAAAACATTTTTATTTCTGTGGCAAATAGCACTACACAAACGCAATTCTTTATAGCGTATTGTGTGTACTCATTGCTACAGTTGTCTTAAAAAATACAAATTATGTAGTTAACGAAAACACAGAAAACATTTCTAAATCGATACGTACCTAGATAGAACTACTACAACCAATGCTTTTCTACTGGTAAGCACTTGTGTCATAAAATACTGAACAATATTTCTTGCATTGGCAGATAAGTGGAGATAGAGACAGTTACCGTAATAGAACAAGGATGGGGATAGAGAAATGGAGGGGGAGAGGGGGGAGAGAGGGAGGGAGAGAGAGAGAGATAGATAGATAGAGATAGATAGATAGATAGATAGATAGATAGATAGAGAGAGAGAGAGAGAGAAAGAGAGAGAGAGAGAGAGAGAGAGAGAGAGTCAGAGAGGGGGGGGGGGAGACAAAGAGAGAGAGAGAGAGAAAACGAGAAGAGATTTAATAAGGACAATATATATTCGATAGGGCAGAAAACTCAACCGAAACGAGAGCACCCGCCAACCACCCACATCAACGAGCCTAACAACAGTCTAACAGTATCACTGCGAGCCTAACACATCACTAACAGTCTAACAGTATCACTGCGAGCCTAACACATCTCTAACAGTCTAACAGTATCACTGCGAGCCTAACACATCTCTAACAGTCTAACAGTATCACTGCGAGCCTAACACATCTCTAACAGTCAAACAGTATCACTACGAGCCTGACACATGACTAACACAAAATCTATTATCTAACAGATGGGTGCTCCGTCCAGCATGTTCCGGGTGCTGGTGGCCGGAAGTTCAACGACGGTCTTGAAAAAGTCTCCAATGCCGGAGAGCGCGTTGACGCAGACGGTGAAGGGTTGGAGCAGGACATACACCCAGGCTAGGATGAACGCGATGGGCCAGGCCAGGAAGATGAGGATGAGGAGCCAGCAGATCCCCCACAAGAAACAGGCACCGTCTGGTGAAACACGGGGGGGGGGGGGGGGGGGGGGGATGAGTAAAGTTTAAAACAAGCGGCTAGAGCCTTACAACAACACCCGAGAATCCGGCTTCATATCAAGAGGAAGACCAAGAAAGACCTGGCTGGATGGGGTTAAAAAGGTCCTGGAACAAACAAAACTTTTTTTTTTTTGGGGCGCCCCCCTCCTGCCGGGGGGGAAAATTGGCCCCCCCCCCCCCCCCCCTTGGATTTTTTGGGGTCCCGGGGGGGGGAAAAAGTTAAAAAGTAAGCACTTGAAGAGGGTTTGTTTTATTTTTCTTTCCCCCCCCCCCCCCCCCCCCCCCGCCGCCTTCGCGCAACACGACAGTCGCAACCGGCTGTTTTCCTATTCCTGAACTGAAAGACACTTCTGCGAAAACCCGCTTTGACCTCAGAAATTGTGCGCTAAGTCAGTTCAAGTTCAATGAGTCCGAATTGTATGTGCGTGTGTGTGTGTGGGAGAGGTATAGGTACTTAATAGGGTTATCTTTTTCCCCCCATCCCAATAGATATAGATTTACCATTACATGTTTGACGTGTATCTCAAAAGCGTGCTTAGTGCTGAGATCTCACGATGGCCTCAGTCAAAAGCTGCCTTTTTATCTTCAGAAGGCTAGCTTGAGTCCAGTTCTCGAGCGGGGAAGATTCTTTTATCGAGTGATCTCCCTCCTCCGTCCGCTGGTAGTGTATCCAACTCAGCTCGGGTTGGCCCAGACAGACAAGCAAGGTAGAAGAAATCCCCCCCCCCCCCGGTCATCTAAATATTGGCGCTGGGGGTGTAAAACATTTTGTTAGCGTCATTCCACAGACAGCTGCAGTCCTTTATCAAAGTTTTGAGAAAATTAAAGAAAAAGAGAGCGCCGAAGATCAGAACTATGATTTGAGCACTCGTATATCTACAATTAAAAGTAATAAAAGTTGGAAGGAAATAAAGAAACGGAAAGAATCTACATAACGTATTGTTGTTAGATGCCTCTTGATGTCTTTTAATCATTTTAACTAACGTCTTCCCCTCATCTCTCTTACCTTTACCCTTTCCTTCGCCACCAGCCATTTCTACTTTGTACTGCAGTCAGATTCCTATCTGAAAGTAAAATGATGATCTGGTTTTTGCACTTCTGTTAAGGGGGAACTCGGTAGGTATATAACAGTAAATATTATTTTCAGATTTAAAATGAATTATTTTAAAAAAGTAGATGCAAGTAACGTGAATTACCCTTTTTAACTCCCAGTGGAGCATAGGCCATCAACAACATTTCTCCAGCGAAGCATGTCCTGTGCATCCTTTTCGAGCTGTTTCCATGATGTCACCGCCTTTTCCACTTTCGCTTGTACCGCTCGCCTCCATGTCATCTTTTGTCTTCCTGTCTTACGTTTTTCTTGTGGATTCCACGTCAATCAAAGCCAGTCTGGTGATGCTTGTCGGGGGTCTCCTCAAGGTGTGCCCAATCCATTTCCATTTCTTCACCCGTATGTCTTCCTTAACTGGCCTTTGGCTTGTTCTTTCCCACGGTTGAGCATTTGTGACTCGATCGTACCACTTGATCCCCACTATCCTTCTTCGACATCTTTTTATGAAGCTATGCAGTTTTCTTGCTGCTGATGCTGTGAGTCTCCATGTCTCTGAACCTTACTGTAAATCCGAACAGTCTTCACATTTGTTTTGAAGATCCTCAGCTTGGGGTTCAATCCCCGTTCCTTAGACATCCGTATCCAAAAGGCAAGAGCAGCAATCATCGTCCTCAGGAATATTATTCCTGAGGACGATGATTGCTGCTCTTGCCTTTTGGATTACATTGTATTGTGATGGCGAGTTATTTTATATACAGTCCAGCACGCTCATAGCGAAATCGGCGGGACGCAGGAATCTTTTCGTTTTGCACGAATTTTGTTATATGTACGTGTTTTTGAATACAAAGAAATACATGGATAAGAAAAATTATGGCTCTGAAAATATGTTCATTATGTGCGTGTTTTGCTATGTGCTTGTTTCGCTATATGCGTGCTAGACTGCAATTTTATAGTCTATAGGGGGCATTTATTAAGTCTTTACCATGACCATGAAAGAAGCAAGCTAGAATGTTGAAATATTATAATAACCAGAGGCGAAGCGTCTATATAATCAAATAATCACTGCTTCCCTTCCTAATTTTGAAACATTGTCGCAGTCAAATTCACCCATAGACGTAAACCTCATAAATTAAATGTAAAAAGACGTTCATAATCACCAATGAAGAATAGACTATGCCTAACCTTCAAAACCGTTTCATTGCTACAGAAATAGCCTGTTCGCCCCTATCGGGCCACTCCATAAGCAGTCACAAGCTTTGATTAAGTAAGCTTAAAGTGAGGCTGGAAGAGTCAACCAATAGAGTTAAAGGGAACATGTGCATAGCAGTCAGAACTATTTCATTGTCGCATATACCCTGTTCACCCTTTCGGGCCACAGTTATAAGCACCCAGACGCTCTGATTAGGTAAGCGAACTATTACACCGGTCGAGTCTACCTCACAGATGTGAGGGGAACTAACTCCTAATAATCCTTTGACTCCTGCTACTACACTGCTAGTGCTTTTTTTTTCCTCGACTTTTTAACGTCCTATAATCAGATCGTGACCTCGATTATGACACCGGCTCCTGGCCGCGAAAAGCTAGACAAAAAACAGCCAAATGTGAAGTAAAAAATTAGTAATTGGCATGCTCTACCAAAGTGTTTCGGCTGTCTGGTATAACATGCCATTGTAGGGCTGACATCTCTGCTTCTTTCCTTGGTGTTCGTGTGTTCAAATTTAAAGTTAAATTTAAGATTAGTTAGAATAAATATTTAATGAAATACTATCCCGATTATTTTAGCGGTTGAACAAGCATACAACATGAATTCAGGATTTGTTTTCATTCACAACTCAGAGTTGCCGCCTCCAGTGCCAGTAAGATTCTTGTGACTTGTGTGAGTGTGATATCTCCAGGCCCTATCTGGTTCCATTTCACTTTGATTACCCTGTCAAACAAGTCAGCCTTCGCCCCTGATAATAACACTCGCAATGCTACCCCTCTACACCGCCAACCTGCAGTTTTACACACGTTTGCCGTCTTCGATTGACCCCAAAAAGTGTCCTTGAGCATTTGTCATTATAATGTGTGATGACACCTTCACTGCCCCCCCCAAACCCCCTCCCCAAACAAACAAACAAACAAAACACTCGAAAGTTGCACTTTTGCCTTTTTTGACGTTCCAGTATCATGACAGTTTCATGAAAAGGCATTCATCAAGGTAAACAATTATCTACATGTAACATCTCTTTCAAAATTTTCACTGATAACTTTCCTTGCAAATAAATACATTTTGATAACAACATTGAAAACGGCGTTATCTATTGGTATTCAAGAACTATGTACTTTCAATACTCTCAGGTTCACACCGTTCATCACATTTTTCAAAGACTCCACATATAGCTTTCCTGAAAGAAAGAAATCACATCCTCTAAATTTCATCGTTGTAGATATATATGTATATATATATATATATATATATATATATAATATAATCTATTTTTTAAAAAGGGGGGGGGGGGGAGGAGTATCACACCAGAGCCCAGAGTAATTAACCTTTACTACAGTTTATGGATACTGCTCAAGTGCCTTCTACTCCTATCTAGATCTAGATTCTACTTCTACCTCTTCAGACTAGACGCTGACGACATCACAAGACGCCACGGTACTAAAGTCTGAAGTCTGAAGTCAACAAGTGCGATTTTGAACTTGAAAGCATAACGAGGAAAGGAATGCAATTAGCAACCAACAAAAGCTACTGTAGATGGTGATGATGTGTCAATACTCTGATTCTCAACTGCTTTTACCGACGCAGAAAACAGAAGTTAACTGCAGGGAATTCAACACAGCTGGAAAACCAAACAACACAAAATGTACCTGATGATGATAGTAGATCTACCCTTTGCACTCAGTGTCTTTGTAGTAGAGTCTAATGGGATGGACGGCTGTGACTGTAAAAACCAGTCTGCACAACGCCGCACGATGCAAAAAACGGGGAATTCCTAGATTTCTATATAAAACGGTGGAATCAGGTCAATGAGAAAAGTTTGTCCTTCTCAAGAAATTGCACAAAATTTACTTGAAAGAAAATAAATGTAGGCCTACTATCTAATATAGGCCTAATACAGTCGAACCTGCCCTGACGGCCACCTCTATAAGACGGCCACCTGTACAAACGGCCACTTTCCATTCCCCCCCTTGCGTTTTTTCTATATAATTTAACTGCGTAAGACGGGCACCTGTCCAACGCGGCCGCGGCCACCATATTATTATTTTAACACACAACCCCTATTGCACTGAGCAAAAACACCTGTCTTAGACGGCCATCTTAGAGACTCCATTACGTTTTGTCATAAATTGTGCATTGGCCCCTGGCGTTGTGGGCGAGCCGTCATAATCCAATCACTTCTCGTTGTTGTTAGGTAGTCCCTCCAACTGATCATGTTGCGTAGACCCCTCCCACTGTTGACCATTTGGTACCAATTTTCCGCTGCTGGTGAGGTAAGCGTGTGATGCCTCATAACCCATAAGCCCCGCCCAAACCTCATACACAAATCGTAAGTGAGATGAGTGGTCACTGTTTACCCAGTCTGTAACAAAGTAACAATAAGCGTCAACACGAACTTGTGACAGAAGCGTCGCTCGTTCTCCGAGTGGTGACGACCCATGTGTTTGTTTTACCATGGCACTCGGTCTTCCTCGTCTGATACATTTCGTTTTATTGTCACTATGTCACCCTTGCGCAAAATCAGAACAAAGTAAAAATAACAAACAAAATACAAACCAGCAACAACAAAAACAACAACAATGCGGCTACTTTCGATTGGAACTTCAGATGGGAATGGTTTGTTTTCATCTTGATCAGTCCTGCCTAAGACGGCCACCTGTCTTATACGGCCACTTTTCTCCTTGACAATGGGTGGCCGTCTTACACAGGTTTGACTGTATATAGCCTACATAATAGATGCTCTAAGTAAAAACCTTCTGCCCTGGTCTGTCTCTTTTAACAAACTATTGAAAACTCAGAGAGGCTGGATCATTTGAGAAATTCTTGACAGACACCATCAATATGTCGATTTCTTCTTCTCCCCTTCTTCTTTCCAGAGCAAAAGAGAGAGAGAGAGAGAGAGAGAGAGAGAGAGAGAGAGAGAGAGAGAGAGAGTATTAACTATTTCAATCAAGACTCAAAAGGGGACAGCAAGTACATTTGTAATTGGGATTGACTTCCCACTTCCTAATAAAATGTACGGAACTTTCCTCAGGTATGGGAGGCTACTCTGCTTTCTTCAGAATCCTACTTTCTCTTTCAAACAGGACGGCTACCTGGAGTAGGCCTACATGTTATGAATCAGTGATCTCTGTCGACAATGATGTCTGGTTTTTGCATGAGCTAAGTGCGGTAAAAACAGTCGAAAGATGATGTCGCAACGCCTATCGTATGCTGTACTGAACAGACAGTTACAGCTGTTGAAATGGCCGTCTTGCCGGAGTCTTCTTGGCAGTTGCGACGATAAAGGTCAGCAGAGTCAGAGACTGAGACAGAGATGTGGACAGATGAAATTCAACAGAGAAGCAAGTACAAAAACTCAGGGAACGATCATGAATGTCTTTGATCGGAAAGCAAAACGTTTGCAAAAAGAACGAGCAGCACTTGGTGATGATGGCGAAGATGTCACTGTGTATGATTATCTGAAAGATGAGGTAAGAGTAAAGAAGAGTCGGACAGTGATTCAGTGACAGGGAGTGAGGACCGATGGACAGGGTGAAACTAAAATCTAGGTGTGTGTTTGTGTGTGTGTGTGTGTGTGTGTGTGTGTGTGTGTGTGTGTGTGTGTGTGAGAGAGAGAGAGAGGGAGAGAGAGAGTGAAAGGGGAGAGATGGGGTAGGCGGGTAGGAGTACAAGAGAGAGAGAGATGATATGATACTATTCATGGGGAGGACTTCCGTAACGAGCGACCACTATGAAACAGCAGAATTGAGGGCTTGGGGTAGGGGTAGGGGTACGGTTAGGGGTAGGGTTAGGTCTAGGCCTCTTCTTTATTGTGTTTGATGGGGTGGTCGCTCATTACGGAAGTCCTTCCGATTCATGTAACTATAGACTGTAATCCAGTGATAAAGATAAAGTGGGTATACCATAGTAAGTATATCATAGCTAACATTAATTAATTAGAATCCTGTACAAGTACATGATATACTGGTCTTAGATGTGTCAAAATAGAGGGCTTTTATTATATACAGAGTCTATATATTATACTATCTAATTTTGTAGGGTTTAACGAATTATCTCAGAATATGTGTTGTGAACCTTCCTAGCTCTTCCTGACCATCACTGTGTTACTTACTTGCACTTTCAAACAAACAAAGATGGAGCAAATGAAATAATGTTTTGTGACAGGAAAAGAAAGTCAATGTGAGATCATGATAACCAATTTTTATTTGAAGGTTTCTGCCCCATTTTTTTATGAGATTCACTGACGTTGACTTTTTTGTGCTTTGCATTTCAGTTTGGCTATCGGATCTCTGACAGAATTTGTGATATCAAAAGGTTTGTGATGTTTAGCAGTTCATTTATGGCCGTTTTACGAAAAATATCATATTGTTAACTCATTGACCTGAAATTGTTTTTCACGATTTGATGGAATTGATTTTTTTTATACAACACGACTCGACTACTTTCACAATATATGCGCTTCGACTCAAGACAAAGACCAGTCATAACAATAAGAGGAATGAGTGTAGCTTTCCTTAGAGAAGCTTCCTTCAAAGTTTGAATTGCATTCTATGATTCATAGAGTGGCATAGGTGAGAAAATCCTTATATAAATATTATATCTGCAGGCCTTCTAATGCATCATGCGAGACAATTGCGGCCGCTTTGAGTGGCTGCTTGTCATTTTATGAAAAAGCTTTGGATGCTGGGAACGGCCTCTTAGGTTTAACAAGTTAAGATAGGCAATGTTATTAAAGATTTATTTCTAATTTTAAGCAGTTTCTGGTATTGGTAATGGGCTTTCTTGAAATTATAAAATTGAAAACCTTGACATGGAAACTCAAAGCTAACTTGGAAAGCATGTTGGTTTTAGTTCAGTAGTTGGTTTTATTGTTCAGTGTTTGGGTGGTACATATATATACAACAAATTAGCAGTGCTAGTACGTTGAATGTCTGCAAGTACAGATCTTTTGGAGCTACAGCAGTGTAATGGCAAACTATCAGTTTTGTGGCTCCACTTTCAGAACAACTAGGCTGAAGCCTAACAGTATGTTCTCACTCCTAATTTGTTTTGTTACTTTATTATTTGACTTTGTTTCCTGTTTGGTTTTTCAGAAAGTTCTCCGTTGCCGTGGATCTGGGTTGTGGTCGAGGTCACGTGGCGAAGCATCTATACAGCGACATGGTGGAGCGTCTTTTTCAGTGCGATCTGTCTCACTCAGCTGTGGTAAAGTTCTGAAATATTTCTTGGGTTTTTTGTAGTGAATATTTGTAATTTAAAATTGTCGATTTTTGATTTACGCTCCTATATAAATAGACATAAAGGTCTTGGACATCTAGCTCTCTCTGGCAAAATTGAGGGCAAACGAGGCAGGGGTAGGCCCAGAGCAACCTACTTGAAGAACCTAAACAGGTGGGTAACAGTGAAAGATCAGGGTAATATAGCTTTTTTAAGAGCATCCGAGCAAAGGAATGAATGGAGAACCATGATCGCCGATGTCTGTCGCAGATCTGGCACTGGATGACGATGATAAATAAATCTTTATAACTAATTTTTGAAAAAAAGATAGATTCCTGCATGAAGTTTGAGAGATGCATCTCATGTGACATGATGTATTGTTGGCAGCTGTTGTTTTTCTCTCAATATTGAAATTCTTCTATGAACTCTATATATATGCAATTTAAATTTTATGCATATTATATCTGCATGTGCTTTCATCATTCTTGTAAAGCCATTAAAAATTTCCCACAAGGACAATAAAGAATTATTTCAACTGATCTGATCTGTTCTGATCTTATACAATGGCTAAAGCTTGAGACGATCTTTTCGCAGAAACTTGCGGAAGTGTCCTCAGAGGTCCCAACGTCCAAGCTGGTCGTTGACGAAGAATTTATCCCGTTCAAGGACAACTCCTTGGACATGGTTGTCAGCAACTTGAGGTGAGTCTGAGATCCTTGTGATGGTTCTCATTGATGATGTCAGGCACACATTCACCAGCTGTAAAAACTACTTTCAGCAAAGTAGAAAAGTGGTGACCATTGAAACTTGTGTATTGTAAAACAAATGTGGACACTCGCATGCTCATACAGACTCACACACACACGCACAAGCACACACACACACACACATGTATGCAGGCACACACTCACTCATGCACACACACACACACATATGCTCTCATACACACACATTCACATAATCATGCATATGCATTAATGCAAATATGTTACAGACACCCACTCTCATATGATCTAAACAAACACACACATAAACATTCATGCACATACACACACACACACACACATACACACACACTTACACACATACTCTAAAACATACATCAGGTTCAAGCTCTATGTAGTGTTATAACCTCTGTGTGTTCCCGTTCTTTGTTGCAGTTTACATTGGGTGAACGACCTTCCGGGCTCTCTCAGACAAGTAAGTGTAATATTAACAGTCAAGCTTGGGGATGAAATCTTTGTGTTAACCCTAACTCAATCGCTGTGAATGTTCAGGATTGTAAGTGTATGTTCTATGTGCCATAAGTTTTATAACTCTATGGGTCTCAGGCTTGGGTTTGGTGGTAGCATAGACTTATTGTAATGTCCTAGACAATGCACTCTGATGTATTTATGGTTCGCCATAGAGAGCACAGTCTGAGCCAAATCAAGGGCAAGGGGGAAGTGCCGTCCACAGTTGACTAAAGTGAGACTTGTGTCATGCCTTTTCTTTTCACATATGTGAGGGGTGCGGACAGAATGAATTACTTCTCGCAATCCGTGAATGGAGATGTCAGCCAAAAATCGACACAAAGGGTCATATTTCTTCATTCTCAACCAGTGTCATTCTTTTCAAGTTTAATATTGTCTTTTATCATTTCTTACTAATAAATTGTAAATAATTCAACCTATAAATTTGACGTATCCATTTCCACCGGGCCAAAGTCCGAGAAGTAACTCACTTTGTCTGCACGCCTCTCATGTTGACATGGCCAATTGTGCGCATGGTGCGCTGTGAATTCAGGCCCAGATGTTTGCACATCATCATCATCATCCTGTGCCTTGCCGACTGGCATGGGTGATCATGGACCTCCACTTCAATCTGTCTTTCGTTGCAGCGATGATGTCTGTCATTCTAGCTGTTTCCAGCCATGTTGTCAACTTGTCCAGTATCTTTTCCCTCAGTCTGCCTCTGCCTCTCTTTCCATCAAACTTGCCTGTTGTTACAATATTCTCCAATGCTTCTTTTCGCATTGTGCGTCCAATTAACTTTTCCTGTCGCTTTCGAATATTTACAGCACATACACAGTACAGAATAGTTGCTATACACCAGTTAAGTGAGTGCTTGCAAATCAAAGTGATATCACTGACTAGTTGGTGATTTGGTAATTTTGGTGAGTGGTAGGGATCAGCTGGGTAATGACGGGTGTTATTTAACCCTATCCGTACGCCCGGGGTCATTTTGTACCCCCGGGCTTGTATTCTTCACATTTTAGAATACTTCTGGTACGTAGATCTCTTTGAAACTTTCAGTATTTCTCAAAAAATCATTTTGATAGACTGCTATGCAAAGCGTACGGATCAGATTAACAAGTAAATTTCCTCTTTGGAAAGTGGTGGCACAGAGCTCCCCACGTCGTATGGATACGATAGTAAAACACGACGTACGGATAAGGTAAATGCCGTTGGTGGGTGGTATGGTCGACAAGCAGTGCTCTGGTACGGGGTGCCCATTGCGGATGGGATCGGGTTCGTTCGAGTCGGGTCGTGTCTGGTCGATCGTCCGACTCGTCGCCTTACTTGGAAAACCTGAACAGATGGATGAGAAATCTGGTTTAGATATGGCACTTGATGATGATGATGTTGTTTGTTTTGGAATCTGACACATTTTTCATATTTTTGTCAACAGATTCTCCAGGCTTTGAGAAATGATGGGGTGTTGATCGGCAGCATGTTTGGAGGAGACTCGCTGTATGAGCTACGAGTCTCGCTGCAGCTGGCGGAGATAGAGAGGGAAGGGGTGAGTGGGACGATCTCCTTGTACTTTGCGGCTGTTGATTCGTGTGTGTTATAATAATAATAATAATAATAATAATAGTAATAAAAGATTGCATTTATATAGGGATCTATCCCATACTAGTATAAGCTCTGAGCGTTTATATTTGTTGACTGACTGTTGAGTTTACATTTGAGTGAAAAGAAGCACATAAGCACAATAAGTTCAGGGAAGAAGCAAGACAGATAGGCAGATAGAAAGAAAGAGAGGGAAAGAAAAGAAGTTGACCTACCAGTGGCGACCCCAACCATCTGCGATCGATAGTAAACTGGTTGTTAAAGTGTTATTCACCTCCATGGACACAAGTTAGGTCATTTAAGAGACGGGCTGCTTTGATTCACCTGTCAGGGCTAACCTGTGCTGAGAGGGAAACAACATCCCAACAAAAAGACGGAGATACATGACACAAATTTTTCTTGCGTCGAGAATCGAACTCTGCGTGTGAATGCTCAGCATCAGCCGGCAGACAGGAACAACATCCCAGCAGACTGATGGAAATATTCAATAAAAACTTCCCTGATTGGGAATCAAAATCATGGCTTCTGTGTGTGTAATGGCATAAAGTGTAACTAGTTGTTAAATGTATGCTTCCCGGGAAGCTGAGAATGTTTCTGAGTGTTCTGTGGTCAGCTGGGGTAATAATATAGTGTAAAGCGCATAGAGCTTGCTGTAGACCAGGGTTATGCGTTATGCAAATGCTATTTATTATTATTACTTTTTTTGGTATTTACAGCAGACTGAGGATAAAAGCCATTCCATGCAATGACCATTTACACAACTTTAGACCGATCGTTTTGAATTTTAGGAAGAATCTTGATGGGTTGTGTTTGATATGTCGCTGTCTGTTATCAGTCTGTCACGTTGTATGTTTTATTGGATCACTTGTCAGTCTTATCATGCAGGGCACTGTTGAAGGTAGCAGAAAAACAGGACCTCAAAGAAAAATCTGGTCTGGCAACATCAGAAATTGGACTGGTTTGTTGGCTAGAGAACTTCCTGGGTGGGATGACAGCCAGAGGGACAAAGAAAAAAATCTTGACATCTTTTGTGTTCAGTTCCCCCTGTCTGATGATGCAATTCAGTGAGTGAGAGAAGTGAAATGAATGTTTGATTTTCCCATTTATTTACACAAAAACTGTTGTCCCTTCCTCCAGGGTTTCGCTGCTCACATATCTCCATTCACCACCGTCAACGACTTGGGAAACTTGCTGACCCGTGCAGGTTTCACTATGCTTACAATTGTAAGTTATTACTTTCTCTATTTTTTTGCTTTGTAATACCTCTTACACCAATGGCTCGAGTGGTTGGAGGGTGCCAGTGGTAGGTTCGACTTCTTTTCTGTCCCTATGTTGTTTACTTCTTCCAACTCTTTCCCTCCACTAGCGACTATTATCGTGTTGACATGTGCTTCTCTTTGCTCAAATTGAAACCCATCGACAAATTGTTGGAGTTCATCACTGGTATGTTTACCTGTATGTCTTTCTTTGTATGTGGGTTATTCCATGAAAACTGAAACTGCAGAGACACACAGAACGCAGGCATGAGGAACTGCTGAAAAAAAAAAAAGGTAAACAATGATGGTGCAGTTTTTAATGGATTTTTTTTGTTAGAGCTTCTTACGAAAAAAGAAATGAATAGCTCCATCACTGCTTGGATTTTTTTAAGCAGGTCATCATCTCCACATGACATTATATGTGTCACTTTTCATGGAGTGTTCCGTTTGTGCCAATCGCCTTGGGGTTTTTTTTTGGTGTTAAATGATGTATTGTGTGCAAATCCTTCTCTTTTGTTATTTCGAACTCAGTCATGTTGCAGCCTGAAAAGTTTTTCTTTTTACAACTGAGTGAGTTATTTTATCCTTTCTTTATTTTCATACACGAGAGCAATGTTTTTTTGTTGTTGCAATTTTACCAAATTTAAACATTACTTTTCTCTGATTTGTTGTTGTTGTAATGCACACCTTGATGTGATATAGTTGACCTAGTATTTAAAAACAGATGATAAATACTATTTATTTAGTGCTTTATCTTGTTTCGAAACAAGCTTTGAGCACTGAGGAGCTATTATTATTATTATCCCAATGGACCCGTGAACACTCAGAAACAATCTCAACTTCCTGGGAAGAATGTAGTGCAAGGTACTATTTTACAGGGGCTAAAACACTAACGTACTGACGAAATCTTTCGCTGTCTCTGGCTGGGTATGATCTCGAGGACACAACGTTGACCCAGAACCACTAGACCATTAATGCCATTAAGTAAATGAAATGATGTAAATGCTTTTTAAGATGCCTAAGGTGGGTGGTTGGCGGGTGCTCTGGTGTAGTTTGCTTATTCTTTCCTAACAAACATCTATCATCCTGACTTCTCCTCCTTCTTTTTTGTGTTTGTTACTCTCTTGTAACCCCTCTAATATTCGGCACTTATATGACCTCATTGTGTTGCAATAAGGCCACAAAATTTTGGGATGAAATTTAACAAGGACCTTTCGCTGTTATTTCAGGACGTGGATAATGTGATCATCAATTATCCGTCCATGTTTGAGCTGATGTTTGATCTCAAAGGTGAGTTACATCATCAATTATCCGTCCATTAGGAATGGGCAGGTACCGGTACCCAGTACCGTCCGTGTTTGAGCTGATGTTTGATCTCAAAGGTGAGCTGTGCCGGGAAACTTGTGTTATGTCGATGCTGCCGTTCTAAGACAGTTACTCTCATGTCATTCTGTTTTATGAAGTTCTCTTTACCTGAGAGTCAGTCCTGAAGGAAACAAATGTCTGACTTGAGAGAGAGGGACTGGGAAAGGGAGAAGGAGGGAGGGAGGGAGAGATACTCTTTGTCAAGAGAATATTATAGATTCATTTCACCTTTCACTTCCTTTTTAATGTAATTTTTCCACTTTCCTCTCAGAGGCAGTTAGACAGTTTTTTTGTTAAATTCTCCTACTTTTTTCCCATGTGTTCATTAATTTGTTCTTTCATCTTCCATCCCCCCCCCCGAGAGCTAAATGACCAGTGTTGTGCTGACCTGTCTCTCGTTCTACTCGTCAACAAACTAACAGCGGGTGGTTGGCGGGTGCTCTGGCGTGGTTTGCTCCTTCTTTCCTATAAAAAATCTATCGTCTCTGTCTCCCCTCCTTCTTTTTTTTGTGTTTGTTTCTCTCTTGTAACACTTCTAATCTTCGGCACTTATATGACCTTATTGTGTTGCGGGTGCCGTAAAACTCTTACTAAAACTAAAACTAAACAAACTAAATAAACCGTCTGTTCTGAATGTTTTTCCAGGTATGGCTGAGAACAACTGTTCTTGGTCGCGGAAGTCAAAACTACATCGAGATACCATGGTGGCTGCAGCTGCTGTTTATAAAGGTGTGTCTTTTCGACGATTATTTAAGTTAACTTAGTAAGCCGACAGACTGGCTGGTGAGGCCACCTCAGTTGACAGCACGGTTCAACCAGACAAGGTCGAGATCCTTAACTGTCTCTCTCGCCACCTGATTGAGGAGGAATTAAGGAGGCAGAGGCCTGTACTGCTGTGGAGAGGATGATGGTTTTGGGAATAAAAAAAGGAAGCGGAAAATCGGGCATCCTTGCAGGAAAGAACAGAAGAACGTTCAACCAGATCTGCACTGGCACAATCAGTAGAAAGACCCTCGGCGACATTTTGGAGAGAGCAACGGAGCTTCAATGGCCATGTCCGGAGTGCAGGGATGTTGCTTCTTGAAACAATGAATCGATAGAAAGACTCTGTTTGGAATACAAAGGGAATAAGGAAAGTGGGTCAACGTTGATGACTGATAGTGTGAACAATTTAATGAGAAAAGGAGACTGAGATTCTCATTGGAAGACATTTTTAAGTGGGACCTTTTCTATATGCTGAGAAAATTTCACTGATTTTGATGAAGACTGTAACAAGATAGCTGGTTCTTACCTCCACCACGTCAGGTCACTGGGATATTCTTCTTCGTCTATAGATCCTCTTTTTACGAATTTTTAGTCCTCACACATTAACCACTGGCCGGTGTCTAACCCCACTAACTAATGCTGTCACGCGCTAGCAACACAGTTCACTCACACGCAATTCTGCTTTCGAAGGGAGTGTGTTCTTGCTCTCACATTTGCTTCACACCACCCACATGACAACATAGCACGCTTGTTTCCGACTCGTCCAAAAACAACCTACAAAGACAAAGAATACACAAATATACGAAAATATACCACCCACACTGTGCCTGTCTAGTGAATGGCTCAGATAGATCTAGGCCCGCCGTACATTTTTCTCAGTGACCTTGTGCAGGTTTATCTACGTGTTTAGCATCAGCAGGGTTAACAAATATGTGTCACGATGCGGTGGAATCATGCGCTCGTCAGTTTTTGGGCACGGGGAGTTATTGGTATCATCTTTAAACTTATTCATTTGTCTTGCTTTCGATGAAAAAAAAATACCCTTCCATCTTGAATAGAAGTTGAGGTATTTGCAATTGAAGGCCGTTGAGGTTGCCTGATTTTAGAGGTAAAAATGCGAAAAAATGGCTGTCAAAGTCTGGCGATTTCCGTTGCTCGAGAGTCCGTGAAAACATTTACATTTTTTGTGCCTTTTATTAACGTTTTTCAGTTGTTGTTATGTTGTTATCGATCCAGAACGTTTTTCAGTTGTTGTTATGTTGTTATCGATCCAGAATGTTTTTCAGTTGTTGTTATGTTGTTATCGATCCAGAACGTTTTTCAGTTGTTGTTATGTTGTTATCGATCCAGAACGTTTTTCAGTTGTTGTTATGTTGTTATCGATCCAGAACGTTTTTCAGTTGTTGTTATGTTGTTATCGATCCAGAATGTTTTTCAGTTGTTGTTATGTTGTTATCGATCCAGAACGTTTTTCAGTTGTTGTTATGTTGTTATCGATCCAGAACGTTTTTCAGTTGTTGTTATGTTGTTATCGATCCAGAACGTTTTTCAGTTGTTGTTATGTTGTTATCGATCCAGAACGTTTTTCAGTTGTTGTTATGTTGTTATCGATCCAGAATATTTTTCAGTTGTTGTTATGTTGTTATCGATCCAGAACGTTTTTCAGTTGTTGTTATGTTGTTATCGATCCAGAACGTTTTTCAGTTGTTGTTATGTTGTTATCGATCCAGAACGTTTTTCAGTTGTTGTTATGTTGTTATCGATCCAGAATGTTTTTCAGTAAAATCCACACAGAAATGTGTTTCTAAATAGACATAAAACCAAAAATATGATGAAAATTGCCAAACTGGTGGCAAGATGCCTGTACTGTATCTTTTATTTCATTATTTTGGCAAGTGCCTGCTTTCACCTCAATGCCTCACATACGCTTTGTCTTAGGATGGATACTGTTGCCGTGTTGACATGTGCTGTTCTTTTATCTGTCCCCATCGTTTTATGCAAAAAAAATTCTTAAATTATGTGAACTGAGCCCAAAAATGTGAAATTATGCGATTGTATTAATTTTAACCAAGAATGATAAAGGAAAATAATCAGAAATTATGCAAAAAATAATCAAATTTTGCTAAATTATTCGGGGTGCATAAAACTACGGGGACAGCTTAATTGAAAATGGTCTCTCTCTCCTCCTCCAGAGATGTACGGAAATGAGCAGGGGATCCCAGCGACATTTGAAGTGATTAACTTCATTGGCTGGAAGCCAGACCCAAGCCAGGTACCTCCTAGCTTAGTGTTGTTGATAAACTTGTTTACCTTTACCTAGTACTCATCGCAACTGCGTTTGATATAATTGAAACTGTATAGTATACCTTGAAAGGGTCGTTCACTTAAGCATACTTTTAGATTTTCTGAGATTAAAAGTTGAGAGTACTAGCTACAAAAATCATAATTGATGAAATTGCGCTTTTCTTGTAAGAATGCCTCCCCCCCCATCCTCCTCCTCCTCCTAACACTTTTTCATTTCAAATGTTCTTTCTTTGTCTTGTGCTTACTATCACGTACATAATTCTTCAACTTTCAAAAGAAAATAGTGAATGTTGAGGTAGCATGCAGTACCTCTTATCTAAAGTACAGATGAATGGAGCCCCGATACTGAAAGTTAGAGGACTTTGTAAAGGGTTTTATTTTTCATATTCACGCAGTTCAATGTAAACTATTTTGTTTATGACAAATTCTTACAGTTTTTTTCTCGTTTGTTCATTTACTTAGCAAAAGTAGGTGGTTGGCAGGTGCTCTGGTGTAGTTTGCTCCTTTTTTCCTATCAAACATCTATCGTTTTGATCTCTCTTCCTTCTTTTCTTTGTGTGTCACTCTTTAGTAGTGGGTGGTTGATGGGTGTGGTTTGCTTCTTCTTTCCTATGAAACATCTATCATCCTTATCTCCCCTTCTTCTTTTTAATGTTTGTTACTCTCTTGTAACGCCTCTAATCTTCTGGCGCTCATATGACCTTATGCATTTGCGAGCGCCGTAAAACCTTTACTAAAACTAAAAACTCTTTAGTGACATCTTTTTAATCTTCTGCATTTGTATCACCTATTTGGGGTATATTGCTCTAAAACTCTTTCTACAACGAAAACTAAAAAGCAGCAAAATCTGTTCTGTGGTGATAAAGTTTGTTGTACATATTTTTCTGATATTCGCTGAAGTTGTTAAAAGTTTACATATATTCTTTTCCAGCCCAAAGCTGCTGCGAGAGGATCTGGAGAGGTCTCGTTGAAGGATATCAGTCGGGTAAGCAAATTCTGATGATTCTACAATTACAATAAATTGGAAACTGAATTTCAGTTTGCTGTAATTTGACAAGAAATTGTTACAAGTTTTAGCTACAAGCTAACTTGCATTTAGTCTCGGTAATGTTAGAAAATATGTAGTGCTGTCAGCTTCTTCTCTCGTCCTCGTCCTCGTCCTCGTCCTCGTCCTCCTCCTACTCCTCTTCTTCTTCTTCTTTTTCTTCTTCTTCTTCTTCTTTTTCTTATCCTTCTTCTTGTTAGTATCATTATTATTGTTACGGTATTATTTTATTAATTTTTTTTTTTAGATGTTACCATTATTATTCTAATTCTTATTCTCCTGACTTCCGACTCGTGTCCCCCCAGATTGAGCAACTGTCCAAACAGATGAGTCACGGCGACCACAAAACGTCCGACGGTGCCGAGGCTCAGATCGGGAAACTGGAGGAAGAGCTGAAGAATCTGTCGACAAAATACAAAACCCCTGATGGAAGTGACGGTGGTGGGAGTGAAGGGAGCGGTGGTCCAGGGACGAAGGCCAGATGAAGTTAACTGATTTTGTTAGTGGTTGACAGAAATGAACTATTGTAATTGGAGAAATGGAGATACTCTATTTTGGGGCACTTAAAAAACAATAAATAAAATACTTTTGCCACCTATTACGAATGTCACCTGGCCGGCCAGCCTCAAAAGTCTATAACACCAAGCAGTCAGGCTATAAAGGAAGAGGAAGGCCACACAAAAGGTGGATTGAGTGTTTAAAAGAAACCCTTAGAAATCGCAATATCCCTACTGAAAGAGCTGCGGAGCTGGCCTACCATACAAAACTGCATCTCCCCTCGACGCTTAACGGCAACAGAGGATGAAAAAGTAAAAGTAGAGATAAGTTAAAAACAAGCATGACTTCATTATTCATACCGATTTTTCAATTCTGTTTTCTGTATCTCAAATATGCAAATTTGTGTTTTGAGATTGAGAAGGGATTGATTTTTGTTTTTGTACCTGTGCTTGAGCGTTGTAGATATAATGTAGTTTGCTTTGTCAAGCTTGGAAGTGTTATACATGATGTGAATAAATCATTGAGTGCAGTTTGCTCTGTCAAGCTTGGAAGATATGACATGTGAATAAAGCTTTGAGTTTTTGTAACTCATCATTTCATAGCTCATATTGGTTGTTCTGATTGTTTGTTCTTGTGAAATCTCTCATAACTCATTCTTGTGGATGGTTGGCGGCTGCTCTGGTGTGGTTTGCTCTTTCTTTCCTGTCAGACATCTATCGTTCTGATCTCTCCTCCTTCTTTTTTGTGTTTGTTACTCTCCTCTTGTAACACCTCAAATCTTCGGAACTTATATGACCTTATTGTGGTGCAAGTGCCGTAAAACATTTACTAAAACTAACCTAACACATTGTCCAGTCAGTTTGTCTGTCCTGCTCTCACAGTTGGGACAGTGGATGATAATAGATAGCATTTGTGTTGCAACATGGTGGAATCAGGCGCTCGTCAATTTTTGGGGATATGGGGTTAACAATATCATCTTAAAGCCTGTTCTTTTGCCTTGCTTTTGGTAGAAAAAAAAATATCCATCTATATTGAATAGAAGTCGAAGTATTTGCAATTGAAGGAGGTCAGGGTCGCCTGGTTTCAGAGGTAAATTAGCGAGAAAATGGCCACCAAAGTTTGGTTACTTCAATAGCCGAAGAGTCTTTGAAAACTGAAAAAAGACGTATTTTGTGCCTGTCATTGTTTTCCAATAACATTGTCATGGAAATGTGTTTATATATAGACATAAAAGAGGTGAAGCCAAAAAGTAGAAATTCGATAAAAAATGTCTAAACTGGCGGAAAAATGCCTGTTTGTCCGATTTAGTTATTTTGATGAGCGCCTGACTTCACCACGATGCCTCACATTGTATAACGCAGATTCCCGCTCAATAGAACACTCTGCACACTTAACAATCTATTAACTCAGCAGACCTGATGGCATTCTCAAACAATCTCAATTCCTTGGGAAGCATACAGTGCAAGCTGCCATTTTTATAGGTTCTAAAAAAAACACAAACATACCGACAAGATCTTTCGCTGTCTGTGGCTGGAAACCCATTCCCACCTGGGTGAAGTGAAGAAAATTTGTGTAAAGTGCCTTTCCCAAGGACACAATGTAGGGCCTGAGGCTCGAACCCCTGAACCCGCAAATTCATGAGTACGAGTCCGATAGTTTAATCACTAGACTGCAGATGCCAGGACGATGAAACATTCATCTTTCTTGTACTTGTACTCTTCTGTGATACTCTTGCTATTGTGCTGATTTTTTGCTGGCCACTTTGACAGTTTTTTTTGTTTGTTTAGTTTTTGTAAGAGTTTTTATGGCTTTTGCAACAAAATTAGGCTGTATGAGTGTCAAAGATTAGTTAGAGGTGTCACTAGAGAGTAGCATACAAAGAAAAGAAGGACAGATAATGACGAAAGATGTTTGATAAGAAAGAAAGAGGAGAGGTAATGACTTAATGACAAAAGGTGTCTGATAGGAAAGAAAGAGGACAGATATTGATGATAGATGTTTGATAGGAAAGAAAGAGGACAGATATTGATATGATGATAGATGTTTGATAGGAAAGAAAGAGGACAGATATTGATATGATGATAGATGTTTGATAGGAAAGAAAGAGGACAGATTTTGATGATAGATGTTTGATAGGAAAGAAAGAGGAGAGGTAATGACAACTGATGTTTGATAGGAAAGAAAGAGGAGAGGTAATGACAACTGATGTTTAATAGCAAAGAAGGAGCTAACTACTCCACAAAGCACCTGCTAATCACCCACACTGTGACAATAAGATGAATCCTTATTTGAGAGACAACCATAAAAACTGAACAAACATGTGGTTGGCGGATGCTCTGGTGTGGTTTGCTCCTTCTTTCCTATAAAATTTCTGTCATCCTTATCTCTCCTCATTCTTTTCTGTGCATGTTATCTCTATTATTAACACTTCTAATCTTTGGCACTTATGTGATTTATTTGTGTTGGAAATACTGTAGCAAAACTAAAAAAACTCAAAACATACGCACTTGCACACATGCACACACATGTATCATGCAAAAAAGAAAAATCAAGTGAGGCTCAGAAAACTTTATTCAGTTTCCGTTTTGGTCAGATTCTAAATTGAGCACATCACAGACGAGATTGAAACTCGTAGCAAGGATATTTGTTCCCGGAGCAGTGTTGGTCATATTTCTTTCTTTTGTCTCCTCAAAACTGATTGTATGTTCGCATGCCTTTTTATCTGTATCTATGCTTTCACTGACTTTCAGAAATCTGTTTACTACAATAGTTTGCCTTTTTTTGTGTTATGGCATACCTTGTACAAATTGCGAAATTCTAATAATTCTTTTGACGACGTATTCAAACAAGTTTGCTACAGCTTACATAACAACTCTCCATTTTAGTTAGGTAATTATCTCTTCCTCTGATAGACGTTACTCTGTGGTCATCGATGTCAAATCCAAAGAAATTAATATGAAAACATCTCATCACCGTAGCATATTTCGTAAGCACTACCGATACCACTACTACATTAAGTTGTTGAGATAGATACACTTACATGTACGTGAATATCAAAACACAAAGGAAAAGTGTAGAACATTTTTATTGACATCTGAATGACCGACAGTAATGCTTCATAAACGAGTCAAAAGTAACCCAAAAAAAGCCCACCATGCCAAGCAAATGATTAGAAGTAGTGGGATTAAGCACCATAGATTGTTGAACTTTGACCTTGGCAGATACACAGACATTTTGTAACGCGCAGTGGGAAAGCAGAGCTAGTCAGGAGTATTATTATTACATGGCACTTTAAAGCTTTAAGCAAGACATCCGTACCCAAAGGATGGAAGACAGGAACCATTTGTACGAACAGTTTCAGAAATTGAAAATGGCTGAAATAGCAGGGGCTGTATTGATATTAAATTATATAAAATATTTCTGTACCAAGCACCGATGCATCAGAGCCTTTTTCTACACTATTTGATGAAGTGCTGATAACTTGTGGCACATACAGAGTTAATGATCAGTGGAATGAAATGACGTATTAACTATTATGCTATCCAGGTGTAAACTGATTTCCCACATTTTTTTCGTGGTCTGAGCTCAGTTTACATGGAGCGTAAGTTAAGCTCATTCTCATTGTACTATCATACAACCCAAACCAGTAGAAAGTCTCAGAATAAATTAACATAACTATTAGCTCCTTAGCTCCCGATGAGGTGGTCGGTGACATTTTTTCTTCATCTCCAGAAAATGATCATAAATATTTTCATTATAGTATTGTAGCAACAGGTTTTTTGCAGAGCAGCGCGAGAGAGAGAGAGCTATAACACTCTCCTAGATTCATGTCATAATAAATATTATTACAATAATATAAAAAAAAGATGCGGTTTGTTCATTCAGAGTTGTTGCTCTTGAGTTGGGTGATCTAGGTTGTCTGGCAGACGTGTTGAGTTCACTGGAAGCGGACCTGGGTGAGTCTGACGTCACCTCTGACGTGTACGTGGTCAGCTCGCTGGACGGGCTGGATGCGGTGAGCGAACTCACAGAAGTGTTGGTTGTTGACGGCGATCTGTGGGTAGACGGAGAGATAGTAGTTATTGTGATGGAGAGAGAGAGAGAGAGAGACAGAGAGAGACAGAGAGAGAGACAGAGAGAGAGACAGAGAGAGAGAGAGGGAGAGGGAGGGAGAGAGAGAGAGAGAGGGAGGGAGAGAGAGAGATAGATAGATAGATAGAGAGAGAGAGAGAGAGAGAGAGAGAGAGAGAGAGAGAGAGAGAGAGAGAGAGAGAGGGAGAGAGAGATGGCTAAAACAGCGTAAAAGAGCCATAAAACGTCAAAGAAAAAGCAAGCCCATTTATTATAAAACTCTGCGGGCATCAAACTCGAGACTTAAAGATTCCAAAGCAACTGTGTTGCCTACTACACCACATTAAATTTAATTGGGCACGACAGGTGTTAAGAAGAGATGGTGAGATGCAATAGTCCTCTGTGCATGTGTAATCGACTCAGTAAACGACGCTGTATTTGATGAAAAGTAAAAGTGAAGGCTTCCAATGTAAAACAGAGTAAACGCCAAGTCTGGGCATTTCCGGAAAACCCTGTCTATTCCAAATCTTATGACAAAAATTGTGGTGCTGATTATTCTTTTTTCTTTTAAAGAATTTTTACAGTATCCCTCGATATTTAGTACGGTACTATAAAATTGCGTTTCGTTCATTTTGTTTTGCTGAGAACACGTTTTTTTTCTCTCCATTTTTTTCTCAGTCATATAGTAAAGTGTGTTTTGCCGTGGGGTCCTTCAGACTGAATCAAAAGTGCAACACGTCCCTATATCTCGTAAACAGGTGCGTGTGATAAGGAAGACTGTGACATATTATACTACTGATAACAGTCGAGATCATGCCATGACACGAATAGTGTAGCCTACATGCTTTGGCATAGTTTCAAGTCAAATGATGATAAAGAATACTGTTGAACCGCATGACCCCGTCCTAATTGAATTATCACTTTGAAATTATCGTAGATTTTGACACTGTCTAGTACATGTCTCCCTATCTCCCTGTACGTCAATTTGCAATATATTTATGTGTTGATTTCTCTTGGCACAGCGATATCGCGGGAGGTTGGAGGGCGCAATGGATACGCCCTTCTTCTTTTCTTTCCCTCGGTTGTTTCTGTCTGTATTTTATTTTGATAAGAGAACAAAGAGTGGCGGCCATGACAGTGCCCGGTCTAGTATATTATTAGTTGTTTTAAAAACTTATGCACCCGTCTCAAGTTCACATTTTATATACTTCTTTTCCAGTAGTATTTTGCATGCTAAACACGAATATGGTCTTCATTTGTGCCGCAAATCAATTGTTATTGAGTTATTGATGTTTGAAAATAGTAAATTTAACAATAATCTAGGGGGTTTCAGGAGGGCGTGCACCCCCCCCCCCTGCATTTCCCAATGATCTGATGTTTTGTCAATTAGGATTGATATTTACTTGAAAACAATCGCTTTGCAAGGTTTTTAGTGGCCATGCGTGTGTTCTACAGCAACAAGTATGGCAGTTTAGCCCTCAAATCAATGCATCTATGAGTGGGGGCATTAAAGTAAAAACTTATCTATTATTATTATTTGAGCAAAGAAGGGTACACGAGGCAGGGGTAGGTCACGGGAAACATGGAGGAGATGTGTGGGAAGGGACATGAGAGAGATGTAGCTCACTTGAAACGAGCTAGGAAGGATGGCTCAGGACAGAGATAAATGGAAGGAGCTTGTATGTGGCCTATACCCTGCCAGGGGTGAAGGAATTGATGATGATGATGATGATGATGATGATGATGATGATGATGATGATGATGATGGTGATGATGGTGATGATGATAATGATGATGATGATGATGGTGATGATGATGATGACATTCTAGCTATTTACCTTGTATCCTGAGGGCTCAGCGAGGATCATGATCTCAAACTGGGCGTTGGGGCTGAACGGGAAGAAATTCTGGAAGCTCTCCTCGGCGCCCCAGTTGCCTCCCTGTTTGTGCGTGCGCACCACGGTGTTTCCGTTTCCGTAGGCGAGGCGGTTGTCCATGTGCAGCGCCACGTCACAGGCGTCAAAGTCCCCGCCACACACCAGGTTCACGCTGAACCTACACACAGACACACACAAACAGACATACACTTACTTTAGGTTTAGTAAGGTATTACTGCGCTCGCAATTAACTGCATAAGGTCATATGAGCGCCAAGGGGTGGATGTCAACAGAGATATCCTAACAGGGAATCAGACTTACTCTGCTCACCTCTCGAGCCTCAACAGCACAAAGTCTGCTTCGACTATCAAGACACCCCGGAAAGAGCAGTTCACAAAAGAGTGACAAACATACAAAAGTAATAGAGGAAAAAGGACGATAATAAGAATGAGGACTGAAAAAGCAGCAGTTCCCCCTATGTTGTTCCGGTACAGCATGAGCATGACATTGACGAATCAGCCTATTTACAATTCTACTGTGCATAAGAACATGTTAACGTCCCCCCTTCGGGAATGGTCTAAAGACAATTTCAGTCAGTGGCACTGTCCGGG